TGGTGCAGACCGGACATGTGGACAATCCCATCGACAAATCTCTAATTACGACTGACACGAAAAACGGTCATAGATTGGTAGATAAGGACGGTATTATTAATCCAAAAGCATTCTATAATTACCTATCAGCGTGGGCTACGAATGATGCTCTGGCATATGGCGCTTCACAAGGAAACTTGAAGCCACAACCTAAGAGATGGACACATTCGTCGGGAGACACAGAGCTCAAAATACCGAAGTCATCGCCACTTATCTACACACAGCTACCGTTCTACTTATCAGGTTTGACTGACACAGAAAGCATAAAAAACCTGATAATGTCTGTGCGGGATCTGTGTTTAAAATTCGAAGCGAAGGGATTGTCTAATTTCCCGTCTGGTATTCCTTTCCTATTCTGGGAGCAGTATTTGTATTTGAGAACGTCACTGCTCCTGGCCCTCGCTTGTGCCTTAGCTGCTGTTTTTGTGGTAAGTTTCGATATTCTATTGTATATAGATTCTATATAGATAAAGTTTGTTTCGACCTTGATTGTAACCCTATTTATTTATTGCAGGCTGTAATGGTACTCCTCCTGAACTTCTGGGCAGCAGTGCTGGTTACTTTAGCTCTAGCGACATTGGTGCTGCAGTTGTTGGGTGTGATGGCACTTTTGGGATTCAAGTTGTCTGCAGTACCAGCTGTTTTACTAGTCCTTGCTATTGGCAGGGGCGTCCACTTTACTGTTCATTTGTGTCTGGTGAGTAGTTTACTTAACATAATGTCATCACAATTTGGTATTGTTCCCTACTGATAAGTAAAGCTAATCAACTTACTTACCTTACAGGCATTCGTAACTTCAATTGGTTGCAAGCGACGACGAGCATCTTTGGCTCTTGAGTCAGTGTTAGCTCCAGTAGTACATGGCACGATAGCTGCAGCTCTTGCAGCGTCCATGCTGGCCACCAGCGAGTTCGGGTTTGTGGCGAGACTGTTTTTAAGACTACTGCTAGCACTTGTACTACTCGGTTTGATAGACGGATTGCTATTCTTCCCAATCGTACTAGCTATATTGGGACCAAATGCTGAGGTAAGTTTAATTTTTTTATTGAATCGAATTCTTAGTAACTACCTCTAAATACTCATATAACTACTATGGCATATTTTCATTAACGACTATGAAACCAAATATATAATTTTACTCTTTCTTTCAGGTTCGACCGCTAGAATATCCCGAAAGACTATCGACACCATCCCCGAAGAGTTCCCCAGTGCATCCTCGTAAATCAAGCTCAAATTCTGGAGGAAGCGATAAGGGAAGTCGTGGAGGAAAGTCTGCGCCGAGACCATCGGCTCCTTCACTAACGACCATTACTGAGGAACCGCCCAGCTGGCACTCCTCCGCTCCCTCTGTACAGTCCTCCATGCAGTCCATCGTCGTTCAACCCGAAGTGGTTGTAGAAACTACTACTTACAACGGCAGTGATTCAGCCTCAGGACGATCAACGCCGACTTCAAAGACGCCTCATCCGGGCGCTATCACTACTAAGGTTAGTTTAAAATTCATTTCTAAGTGGTAAATACAATTGGCCACATTTTTTTTTTATTTGATCTTTTAGAACTGTTTTTGAAAATAATGAAAATAATGTTTAACTATTGTCCAAATCTTTACAGGTAACTGCGACAGCAAACATAAAAGTTGAAGTAGTGACACCAAGCGACAGGAAATCAAGAAGATCGTATCACTACTACGACCGACGTAGGGACCGCGACGACGACAGGGAGAGAGATAGAGACAGAGAAAGAGACCGGGATCGGGATCGGGATAGAGATAGAGATCGAGAGCGAGACCGTGACCGAGACCGAGACCGAGACAGGGATAGAGATAGGTCGAGAGAACGAGATCGCAGGGATCGATTTAGAGACGAACGAGACCACCGAGCCTCACCTAGAGAAAACGGCCGCGACTCAGGCCACGAGAGTGACTCATCGCGACATTGAAGACGCACGCGTGCCCGCTGTGTGTCCTGTACAACGAGTCACATCGTGTCAACACGCTGTGAAGTCCAGATATATTTGCTTGAATGCAACTAATTATATACTGTATTTAATGATCTGATCGACGAATCTGACATCTTTACCTGAGTTTATCTCTTATAAGCTGAGCAATCGTACGTAAACATGTTTTAAGGTTGGCAATACCGCTTATAATCAGTACCTTAAGACAGTATTACGAGAGTTGTAATTTTAAGTTAACTCTTCATATGGATATAGTGGAGGCTATATTGTAATACGGTACATGATGGAAGTGCTAATATCTAACGTCCAGGTTGTGTGTAGCTATTAGTAAATAGTGTGCGTGCAGGACGGTACTGAAATCATTCCATAGCACGGCACTGACGTCACTGTACTGCGGCCCAGTACAGACACGTTCCAGTGTTGCCAGCTAGTGAATTCTTTACTGTATAAAAACCAAATATCATTTGTAGACGTCATATCTATTACATTTGTTTGTGTGTTCCTATTTTAAAGACATTTCCATTTGTCTCCAAACTCTTTATTACGTTTATACTTCTAAAGACTGTGGTCAAATATTATTAATTTATAATATTATTTATTTGTATGTCTATAATTATTCTGTCACCAGGAAAATCTGTGAAAAATCTCAGATGAATTGTACAAATTATTTAAGTAGTTGTAACTATAGGCTAGACGGCTATTTATGAGATTACTTAGTTATGTGTTATACCTACACTGTATTGTTGTGATCTTTAGGTAAACTTAGTAACTGTGAAGACTGCATTTAAAGATCAAACACAGTATTGTGTGAATATAGGGAGGCGAGGCGTCGGCCGCGGTCCGAGCGCCGACACCCAAACTGACCTCACGTTATGATCGGCGAGTTACGTTGTAACGTTTTGTGCAAAGTACTTAGTAGCATATATTAATTTATACGTACCTATATAACTTAATGATATTCTGTAAATATAGTCGTAGCAGTAGCAAGTAACTGTGCTCGTAGCAAGCGCCCCCGTGCGGCAGCTGTGTACATCTGTATCATTTATTTTTATACAATTTTAACTGACATATTGTCGAAAAACTGTAGGTTGTAGCTGAGATGAAAGCGTTTATTAACTTTATAGGTTTTTAAAAAATTAACAAATTTAATTCGGGGAAATGTAATTATTTTGACAGTGTTCATTGAAATCGTGCAGCATTTATTTACAATGAGAATTTGACTTACGTTTGTAAAGGTTGGATTTACAATTAATATCTAATATTCCATATTATTTGAGTCATATTTTTATATCAAATAAAAAAAAGTGTAAAATGTACGATCAACCGCACATTACTAGTAACATTTTGTTATCAAAAGTGCCTTTGTATAACTGTTCGAATCAATTCTATTAAATATCTACCAGCGATGTGGGTTTGACCGTACATGGCATACATGGAATAGAAAAGTACAATTTTTGTATTAGGACTCGTCCTAAAATAATTAATTTACCCTAAAAAAAGCATGGGAAATTGTTTTAAATATTTTTTCTTCGTTTGCCACACTGTGACAATAATTGTTATAGTTAAAAACAAGGTTAATGTCGACTGTAATGAAGAAATAAAAATACTTTTAAACTGTATAAGTATGTAATTTATTTCACCTTCTTATCTAATCTGTGAACCCTTGACATTATGATGTACGTACATACATAATACAGATACCCTCTAGATATAGTTTACAAACACAAGGATTTGTTATGTGAATACTTGCTCTTAGTTCTAGTAACTGCGTAAAAACCTGATTTGACTTTGAACCCTAACTTGAGTTCGATTCGGTACTGAGTGATAAGTACACAAACTCATTTTTTACGATGAAACATGTTGATCTATTCATATTTCTGTTTGTGTCCAAATATATAGAATAGAAATCAAGTAGAACTTTAAAAGACAGACACAGACATGAGCTTAGTGACTCTTACAATGTGAACTACAGCAAAGTAGAATGTAATTACATACCAGGTGATCGTTTGTTTGTAATCTATATATATTCTTAGAACAAAAACTCTATAACAACATCACGCCTTTTGTCCCCGAAGGGGTAGGCAGAGGTGCACTTTTACAACACTTAATACCCCTGTAAAATGTACCTAATACCCACTAATGTAATGAGGTGGTGAGCATATTGCCATATACTGGGCACATTTCCAGACTTCGTGCTACTGACAATTTTTTTAAAAACCCAGTAACACTTAGCCCGACCTGGGAATCGAATACGGGACATCGTGCTCGGTACTTGCGACCACTCGGCCAACGAGGCAAGCAGACATTTGTTAAGAAAAACAAATGTTAACAAAAGTTCCTACTTTTACAAATACCTAATAAGAATTAGAAAAGTAATATCCGAAAAGAACTAAATTAATCCCTCAAGCGGAAGCGAAATTCCTCAGTTCATAATTTTCGTAAACTTCCATAAAGTTATCATTTTTATTTGGTCGCGTCATCTTCTTTGAAAGAAAATCCGCAAAATTCGTTAGGTGTAACGAAAGCAATCCTCAGAGCGTACAGTGATCCGCTTAGCTCAAATTATAATAGTGGGAGGGTAAAATTTTGGCGGTAGCAACGCTTGCGACATTCCTTAGAAAGCGGGAGCGCGGGAATCAATAAAGGATTTCCTGGCGACTTGCCCACGCATGTGCGTGGCGGCCGGTGTCGCGGCCGGCATAACCTCGCACCACCAGCGCTCCCCTAGCCACCAGCCGAGCTACTCCATGCTGCGTTCTGTCATCAGCTCGCGTGTAATGACCTTCAGCCAAAGCGGCCACGGCGCATACTACGCTGCCCTCGTGTCGCTGGACCGGCTGCTGTTTTCGAGGAGCGGGCAGCTTGGAGACGTTCGCATCGGTCGCTGACCATCAACCCTATGTATGAGCAAATAAATCTCAGTAATAAGTAGTAGGCCGCTGCGTTATTGGGCGTATGATTCGCGCGCAGCGTCAGTGCGGGCGCGGGGTTGCGGGGTGGGTTGCGCGGGGCAGGTGCGCGGGGGTCGTGGCGCGCGACTTGGCGCGCGACACGCTTGTCCTCGCCTGCGGCCCGCCCGCACGACACCGGCCCGGTCCCTAACCTGACTGACACTACCACTCGATGACTCATGAACATACGTACAGCCCTGTGTGACACTGTCAGGAGAGTTTAGTGCGAACGGTGTGTAGCTCCATGTAAGAGCGATCAGTGCTGTGTCGGTTGTCGTGTGCCCTTGTCATGTGGGGAGTGCGATGGCGCTGATGGACAGCATGTGTCCGCGGAGGCCGCTGGGCCTGCTCGTCGCGCTACTCGCGGCCGCTGCGCTCGCCAACCAGCTCGAGGACATCCCGCACAATGAGTAAGTGCTCCACCTTATGTATCCCAGGGCCTTTATACTACAGATTACATCAGTACCATTCGCATGTAGGTCCGTTAATGTGTAACATTGTCTCACTGTAATACGTAAGATAACGATTTATCTTTATTATTGTTCCTCTCTGCACAAACAGGCGATAACCACATAAAAGAATGACCGGTCAAGTAAACAAAACGATTTAAGAATCCTGTCATTTATAGTTGCAATACTTACCCTTACCAGCTTAGCCCACTGAGAATTTGAATTCACAATTATTTTGTAACTAAAATGTTACACAATCAATATTACGTATGTATGATAATTTTATAATACTTTTAATGTGCAACGGCAATGTCAATCTTGAATTAAGGTCATAATATTTAATACATGTAAATTACCTTAATTTAGGATTAATTTATTAAGTTTAAGATCGCATGTATTTTGTACATTTTTTGTCTTTTTGTCCAAATAAAGCATTAGTAACAGCCACATAGATATAAGTAAAATAACAGTAAGTAACTACGTAGTATTGAGAAGCCTCTTCATCGTAAAACGAGGCCCACGCGTTACATGTATCGTAATTGTATTAAATGAAGCGAAAAACTGATTACTTTCGGCGACGAGTAACTGGAACACTCATCCAGTACATAATTTAACTCCTTGAAAAGGCAACAAGTCTATGTTCTCACATAAATGACAGATATTACAAGTAACACACCTGTTCTGCCCTTAAAGGTTAGTTGTCACATTGAACAGGTTGTTATAAACTAAAATAAAGATTCACCGACACTGTAATCGAGACTTGGACAGGATCTGGCAGATTCAAAATTCCCGCCACTGTCGACTGGTATATTATAGATAAGCTAGCTAATTATCTTACCCGGCTTATCTAATGTTCAGTCTAGAATAATTTTCTAGTTTACTTGCTTTTCTACAGACTAACTCAATTCGGACATTTAACCAAGGGTTTACTATAATTACTATGGTCACAATTATATGCATCATGCAAGTCCCAAAATATGCACGCAAACATGTAGTATAAAGATTGAGTCGTGTCAATAACCTCGTGTATAATCGAACTATCTTAATAGTAAATCAAATCAATAAGATGATCCTAAATCATACACTATGTAGTGACACTATGTAGTGACATAGTGTATGATTTAAGATTCGAACCTAAACTATTCGAGTAAGCTGATGACCTAATCTAAAAAAGATAATCTTCTTTCTATCTTTAGTTTATATTTTAATAGATACTTTTAATTATAAAAGTCAATATTCGAGTTCTGGAGCGATTACGCTCGAGAACTAAAAGGTCTCCGTCTGATCCGAGAGTCGACTCTGAGACTCCAAGTCATCAGTCAACTGTGACTACACGGTCAACGCGAAAATCGAACCAAATATAAAACGACACAATATATAATATTCATGGAAAACGTTGAAAATTACATGTAACCAGAGTTTCCTACTTTCCCGTACATTAATCTTATTATTTGCACCTGTTGCGATATTCCGCCATTTTTTTCCTGTTTACGGTGAAATTTTTATGGAGGACGGAGTACGCTAGGTCGTTCTCGTATGACATAACTTACTAAGTTATTGGTGACGACAGTTTATGGCGCCACACCCTCTACTTTTTGTAAAAAAAGAAACTAACTGACTACTGCGATGATCTACAGCACCAGTCTTGTAATTGATGAATGATTGCTAATCAGGATTTTAGATTCGATTCTACATGTCTTTAAGGTATTAAACGATTTAATTCCTCAAAGAGTTAGGTTGAAATGCTTATATTAGTTAAATGTTTCAGTTACTTTTTGCAACTTATATGTCTCAGAGGTAACTTTACTCAAAACTGGCGCCCAACATGGGACTACTAGCTATTAGTACAGTTCCCTAAATGCTTAGGTAAAGGCTTAGTATATGCGTACTAATTATTCCCACTAGAGCTATCTCTAAACTTCTATATAGCTACATTTTAATTTCATGCAATGGGAACAATACAATACTATTACCAAGAACTTAAGTCCAATAATAATTTGCTAAATCATATCAACCAATAACAAATCCTTTAATTGTCACCTCTAATCCAGTTGCTGAAAAATCACTAAATGAGATTAAGAAGACAGTCACTACGCTAAGATTTAGAGCAAGGTCTGTATATGTGGCGTAGCAACAGTGTCCCCCATACCACCTACTACATGACAACACGTGAGAGTATTAAGGTAGGCCTCCTTCCACCTCTTTGAGGATAACAACCGCGTTCCTTGTTACTATGTTGTTGTTAGATTACTTTTTAATTGTCGATTTGATATTAAACTGTCAAACACCAAGCGGTCACAGGTGACCGCAACCTATTGTTCTATAATTGTGTCTATAATGACGGTACTTGACGAGTTAAGGGTGCATCCATATTATGTTTATACTATTTAATCAATCGACATATAATAGAAAATATATCGGGACAATACACAACCGGTTAATGTCTGTTTACATAAAATACACGTGGCACAGCACACTTCTGAAATTCAGGACTATGTCCAGACCCATTTCTTACTTTAACAATATTACAGGGTTTGCCATAGTCTCGACGCTTAGCAGGCGGGTTGGAGATCGTAGTTGAAAAGGTTCAGCAATATCAGACACCACTGCTGCCCGGTCATGACACCCAGACCCTAAACAACAATTTGTGGATCACACAAAGAGTTGCTCCGAACCCGTCACACGGTGCGCGGCAGTCGGTCGCCCAGCCTCGGCGCGAAACGTGCAGTCATGGTATAATACACTAACCAAACCATTTCTAACCCAAAGTAATAAAATAACGTGTAACAGAATTAATATTTCTGTTGACTTATCGCATCTTTAAAGTAAAAGCGTTATTAAATCAACTTTTTCATAAATTGAGTAATTAACATATTGTTTTAAAATAGATGGCATTAACTCAATTCAAAAAAATTTACTTACCCCGTACTAGACAGATTAATAACCATTTATAATCGATTAACTACGGTTTCACATCATAGTTAAAGACTTGGAAGTAGCGATTACGGAAGTAAGCTATTGATTTTCCATATTATAATATGATGTATATTATATTCTTTCTACTCGCGTCATCATCATTATATACGACTTTCGACGCCATAATAATCATTCAATATTATACAGAATCTAATCGTTAAATAACTATCAATCGTTGATTGTCTTGATGATTGAAAATTTGTAATCTTGGCTATTAGAAAATTTCGCGTACACATTCTATGTCGGTCAAAATTCACAATTATGATCGACACTGACTGTCGAAAACATCACGGAGTTTAGAATTGCCTTAGGAATAACTAATACAACTGCAGTTACATTAGCTATTTCTTTAAAAAGCGCTCAAACTGCTAATTTCTATTATTTCTTTAAAAAAAACGCGTAGGTGAATAAATTCCTCTATAGTTGGCGACACCGTTCACTATAAATAGTTCGTGTAAAGCATTGTTGCTACTGTCATAAATAAAATACACTGACGGTATGTGTCTATCCTGCAAGTATATGTATAACTCTGATAGCCACTCTTATACAATAACCAATTCCCAAATCCCTAATGCTCAAATCCCTTACTTACTCCCGAAAGGCTGTCAAAGTATTTGCAACTCCTCTGGTGTGCCTATGAGCGACACCGATTATTACTTACCATCAGGTAACCTGTCTCCTTGGTCGCCATAAAAAGCGACATTAATGTTTACACATCTATCAATCGTTTCCATTACTCATGCTGTAGCACAAAACAAAACTCATTAATTTACCATTGAAAAACAATTATGTTTTGCAATAGGTAATTAGTACGATTCCCGTAAATAACATTATTTAACTAGGGCGTGTGTGAAACCTGGTGTGTGTCGCTTATGTAAAATGTTTTTCAGTTAAAGCAAACTTTAGACATTTAAATGTCCTTACATACAGTTTATAATCTAGAACTAAACTCTAAATTAGTTTTGGCTATTTTAACACGAATAGAATTCACTGTTCAATAGTAAATTGATAAAACATTTTACCTAAAGTAAAAGTGATTTTATCATTTGTGTAATTTTGGTTTTCAATAAATACTCTGAATAATTGCGGCGAGCACGCCAACTGTAGGTACGTGGATATCATACCAACATAACTATACACTTTAGCTACATGTTATAAATATAATTATTTCAGCTATGTAGGTAGGTATCTGTCGTGTGAATTGTTATGTAAAAGGTAAATAGAATATTCTTTTTGGTAAGAATTATAATTCTAAATAGTGCTTCATGGAATCCGACTCATGAGCAACGATTTCATTTCCTTCATGTCCTTCAATAAATTTATTTTATTTCTTTATTAATAAAAACAGCACTAATAAAAACTCACAGGCAATTTAAGCCGATTTAAGCCAATTTAAATCAATTAAAAGTCATTTCGACCAATTTAGTTAAACTTGTTACAAATTTTTGAAGGACTTCGGTAGATATCTAGGTACTGTGGAACAGAAAACAAACAATTTTAATAAAAGTTACGAAGCGAGCGGTCATGTATGGATATCTTGCAGGAGAGCCGGCGATGCAGTGGTATGTAGGGCAGGACGTGCCTCGCACCATTAAGCAGCTTATTGACAGGCAATTACAGAAAGATATTCCACAGAGCCAGCACCCGCTGTCGCACTCGCTACCGCTCCCGCGTCCGCTGATGCTACTTAGAACATTTCGTTGTCACAGCGCCGCGATTTGCTAAACGAAAAAGTTCACAAGTGACAGTTGAAAGTTCCGAGATGGATCAATTCGTGATAAATGGTGGCAGAGGGCGGGTGCTACCCTCCGGCCACTCATACAATGAAGCGGTTGTAAAAACTTTGAATTATTAACGAGGATTTCCGGTTAAAGTAATTACGAATCCGAGCCACTGATTAAATGTATTACGTTGTTTCATTAATGTTTGTTACGAGGCGACGTGTGCGTCTTATTACAAGGGCTTACATTGAAGAATTTTGTAAA